GACGTCGTGATTGTTTCGCCACGTTGACCCCCAGAGGTCTGGACCCATTCCCTAGGACAGGGTTGTCATCCTGGATCGTTTCTTGACGGCCCCGAGGCCCGGGAAGGGCCCCTGGAGGCAAGAACGAAAAACCTCCCGTCGCGATCTTTTCACGCGAGGAGGTCCGGGGAGGAGGAGGAGGAGGAGGAGGAGGAGGAGGACGAGGAGGGGGAGTAGGAGGAGGAGGAGGAGGAGGAGGAGGAGGAGGAGGTAGGAGGAGGCGAAGGGAGGCAGGAGGAGGAGGAGGAGGAGAGGAGGAGGAGGAGGAGGAGGAGGAGGACGGAGGAGGAGGAGGGAGGAGGAGGGAGGAGGAGAGGAGGGAGGAGAGAGGAGGGAGGAGGAGGAGGAGGAGGAGGAGGAAGAGGAGGAGGAGGAGTCGGGAGGAGGGAGCGAGGAGGAGGAGGAGGAGGAGGAGGAGGAGGAAGAGAGGAGAGGAGGAGAGGAGAGAAGGACGAGGAGAGGAGGAGGAGGGAAGAGGAGGGAGAGGAGGAGGATGAGGAGGATGAGGAAGGGAGGGGAGGAGTAGGAGGAGGAGTGAGGAGGGAGAAGGAGAAGGAGGAGGGAGGAGGGAGGGAGTCTTTGGAGGGAGGAGGAGTAGGAGGACGAGGAGGAGGAGGAGGCGGAGGAGGAGGAGGAGGAGGAGGAGGAGGAGGAGCAGGGTCTGGGAGATGCTGGGCGCCAGCGACGGCGGCCACGAGGACCAACGCCGCGTCGGCCAGCAGCGGCAGGGCCGCCCAGGAGAAATGCGCAGGCCCTGCCCGCGGCGCGCTCTTCGCGGGCGCGGGCCACGCCGTCGCCATGCCGCCCGCGCCCTGCTGGCAGTGGCCGGCATGGCCGCGCCGCTGCGGCCTGAGCCCCAAGGCGGGTGGCGGACTCCTCCTCCTCCTCCTCCTCCTCCTCCTCATCCCCCTCCGCCTCCATACTCCCCTCTCCTCCTCTCATCATCCTCTCATACCTCATCTCCTCCTCATCCCCTTATCAGCCTACTCTTCTTCCTCCTCCTCCGCCTCCTCTTTCCTCTACTATCCTCTTCACTCATCTCCTCCTCATCTCCTCCTCCTCCTACTCTCCTACCCCCTCACCTCCTCTCCATACCACTCCTCCTCCCTACTCTCCGCATCCTCCTCCTCATTTCTATCCGCACTCGTCATCCAGGACTCGTTCACCGGCTCTTCCTCTGACTATTCCTCTTAATCCGTCCTACTACCTACCTACTCCTCCTCCTCCTCCTCCTCCTCCTCCTCCTCCTCCTCCTATTCCTCCATTCCTTGTATTATGTATAACGTCCCTCTGTCGCACACGATGCCGGTTTTTAGGGCTGGCGGGGCGTTTCGCCTGAGACTTCCTCACCACTTATGACCCTGAAGCTTAAACAATGGCAACAGTTTCGCAGATGGAAGGCGGGTGGTTTTCAAAATGTGGCTCTCGCTTTGCCGCCGCGCACATTCGTTTTAAACATGTGCAAGAGTTTCGCGACTTGAGGGGTCGTTTTCAAAATGTGGTCTCGCCTTAGCGCAGCGCACATTGCTTCTAAACATGTGCAGAGCTTCGCTGATTGAGGGCGGTTGGTTCTTTTTCAAAATGTGGTTTTCGCCCAAACGCCGCGCATATTTGTTTTTAATCATGCAAGAGTTTCACGGATTCACCACGGTCGACGTACCAGATGGCGTTTGGGAAATATTCAGGACTATGATGGTCAACAGTTACGTAGATTCGCGGTGTTGCAGTCCGAGGAAAGGTCCCTCTGGCACGATCCAGGATTGCCGAGAAGCAACAGTCAGGTTGATCCGTGGCGTCGGAGTCCCGCAACTAATGTTTTGGCATGCTTCAGGGTCTTCAAACTACTGCTTCCAACGAACCAGTTTTCTCAGTGGACATGAACTGTTGCAGGGGCCTATGAAGGAGGAGCTTGAAGGGAGGGTCTATTCCAACATCGTTGATGACTCTTGGGGTTGCACTGGTCCTCCTCCTCCTCCTCCTCCTCCTCGCTCCTCCTCCTCCTCCTCGCTCCGCTTCCATCCTCCTCCTCCTCCTCCTCCTCCTCCTCCTCCTCGCTTCTCTTCGCTCCTCCTCCTCCTCCTCCTCCTCCTCTTCCTCCTCCTCCTCCTCTTCTTCCTCCTCCGTAGCCATTTTGGCTCAAGATGCCTAGTTCCACAGTGGAACAAGTGGATACCGCTAGTCCGCGGCCAGTGCCAGGGCTCTTGAGCCCGACAACTTTGTTCAACTCTCAGTGTGCCTCCTGCAGCCCGCAGGTGAGCTTCCTCTGTCTCTCTCGTCCATGGCGCCTCCGCAGCAGCGCAGCGCCTATGTCAAGTGCTACTCCTGCTCGTACTCCTGGAACTACAAGACCAACCAGACGTGCTACTGGTGCAGCAAAGCCTTGGCGCCGTGGACAGACTCCCCGCCTCCAGTTCAAGGCGCCTGGGCGGCCCGCGCCAAGGCCGCAGCCCAGGCCGACTCCAGCTGTGCCCAGCAGCCCAGCCCCGAGACGGGATGGGAACCGTGGTCGTCATGGCCCAAGTCCCGCCGCCGCCGAGGCAATGGCAATGGCAAGAACCAAGAGGACGACTGGTGGGCCAACAAGAACGACACCCCCAAGGTGCGCTCCGCAGAGGATATCCTTGCGGAGCTCCAGGCGATCGCCCCCCACATCGACAAGGCAGCCATCGACGGTATCAAGTCGCAGATCCCGCCGCCCCAGCCGCAGAAGCCAGCCGACCTCAACGACCTCTACAGCCGCGCCCAGGCCACGGAGCGCCGCTGCAAGAACAACCTGGAGAGGCTGCTCGAGAGTGAGCAAAAGGCGCTCAGCTGGTACACCGAGCGCAAGGCGGCGTCGGAGGAGGCCGCCTACAAGTTGGCAGAAGCCCAGGCCGAGGCTCAAGCCGCGCTCGATGCCCTCCAAGTCGCTCGCAAGGGCGGCACTGCTACTCCCACGGCCTCGCAGCAGAACCCGACGTTCAACCTCACCAGCCTCCTCGAGGACGGTGACATATCCATCGAAGCGGGTTCGGCGTTCGATCTCCAAGGCCTTGACATCGACGACAGCGATCGCCAGGCATGGAAATCCCTTCAGCAGCGCTTCGCCACGGAGCCCAAGGCCAAGGTCACCGAGCTCTTCGGCAACACCGCCAGCCGCATCAGCCAGCTCCGCACAGAGGCCAGCACCATGCGCACGCGCTTCGCCGCCAAGCGACAGCGGTCCGACGAGGACGGTCACGCCCGAGAGGGAGGTGGATCTCCGCCCGCCGCCTCGGCGGCAGCAGGCGAACCCCCAGCGGCAGCCGCAGCGGACGTTGATGGCGCTGCGGCCTCATCGACAGCGGCGCCAGGCGATGAGCCTCCCGCACCTGCTGCTGGCGCTACTTCTGACGGCAGCTTCGCTGCACAGCCTGTACCTGCGATCAACAAGGACCCCGACCTCGAAGACAAGGCACAGAAGATGCTCAGCCAGATGCGCAAGCCCACCGCGACCGCCGCGGCTGGAGCGCAGCAGCCTCTTTAGCCGACTACTACCCGACCCTGGATGGAATGGTGAGACGGGGCGCCTACCGTCAGAGACCAAGAACTACGACAACCCACCGATCATCAACACAATGGACGCAGTCCTCGACCCGTTCGACGAGCTGGCCGAGTTGGACGCCCACATCGATTTCGCAGCCACAGTTCAGTATGCTACCGCCCCGCCCGAGACGCTGTCCTCGGTTGGGGGCGATGAGGCGGCACAGTCCGTCGACGCAGTATCATGGGACCCAGGGCAGCCGCAGCGTGCCGCGCGAGCCGACCCTGATGCCGCTCCGCCCGAGACGCTGTCCTCGGTAGGGGGTGATGAGACGGCCCAAGCTGTCGACAAGCAGTTGGTACAGGAACCAGGGGATCTGTTGCCAATGGCACACCCTGATGCCGCCCCGCCCAAGACACAGTCCTTGGTAGGGGGCGATGAGATGGCGGAAGCTATCGACTCGACCGCTGTGAAAGGCCCATGGAAGCCCAGCAGCCCGAGACCCGACCCCAGACCCGTCTACCAAGACGAAGGCCCTACGAATCCCACGCCGTCAGATCACTCCCTGTTCTTCTCCAACATTACCCAGTGGGGGCCACAGTCGGAGAAATGGTTGGCAGGACCAGGCAAACAATATCAGATGGTGGCATTGGTTGAAACACACATCCCGCACGGTAAGGCCCCTCTCATCTACGACAAGCTAGCAGCGGATGGTTGGAGGATATCATCGACTACAGCCACGCCGACCAGCAGATCCGACGGAGGCAACACGGGCGGCGAGATTATCCTCTCCAGGTACCATGTCCAGGCCACAACCTTCAACCACCTCCGCGACCTGGCCATCTCCCAGCGCAGGCCCGACCCGTTCCGAGGCTTCACGCCCATGGTATGGCACAGACGCTCGGGCAACCTGGTCGTTATTGCAGCATACCTGGAACCCCGCAGGCAGATCGAGGGTGCAGTGCACGATAAGCTACTCTCGCTGGGGGCCTTCGTTACTATGCTCACTGACCCTTGGATCATCCTGGCCGATTGGAATATGACTCCTGAGCAGCTCGCAGCGACAGAGTGGCCCGCCAAATGGAATGCTACCATCGTGCGAGCGCCTGGATCTGCCACGTGCGACAAAGGACAGGGACTCACGCTCGACTTCGCATTGGTCAAGACTGGCATCGAGCACACGATCTCCATTCGCCAATGCCCCACCGTCCCCTGGGCCACCCACGTGGGCCTTGAAGTTCGAGCAGGCAGTGCAGACCCCTGGTGGTATCAGTCCATCCATACCCCCAGAGCATTCCCCACAGTGGACAGACCCAGGATCCCACCCGACCCCAACAGCAAGTCCGCCATCAAGAAACGTAAAACAGCAGAAGCTCGAGCAGCACGCCCACGCGAACTACCTCCTGAACTCCAACAAGCAGCAGCACAACTCCAGCCTCAAGACGGGCCCGCAGCACAGGAGCCGATCCCTTACGCTATCCCGACCGACCTCTGGGAGGAGCAATGGCAGCAAGCAGTACCCACACGTTGTAAGCAGCCCCACGCGCACTTCGTGTACACTCACTGGGCGCACGACGCCGACGACCTCAACCTTAAGTACGCCAAATGGGCCACGGCGCCCGAGAACACCATGATCAGCCACCACCAGATCGACCCCAAGGAAGCCGCAGCTTTCACAGGCCGTGCCCAAGGCTACCAATTGTCCTGGAAGAAGACGGCCGCCGCCCCAGGCCGCGTTCACGTACATGACCCTCAGTCGGAATGGTGGGCAATCACGCTCACCCTCATCAAGCGCTACGCTGCGCTTCACGACAAGCCCAAGCACACAACGCTCATGCAGCAGCAGGCCTCCATCATCCAGCAGCGCGCGGACCACTTCAGCGCTCACTTTCACGACCTCCAGTTCGAGAAGGACGAGGACACCATCTTCCGCTGGTTTGCACTCGTCTGGGCCCCGCACTTGGACAACGAGGACACCGACGACTTGGTCACCATTACTGCTACTTGGGCCTCCAGAGCGCTTTCCGCCGCCCTCGCCAAGTCCAAGAGGGCCTACGGCGCCTGGCTCGCCAAGCAATGGAAACACCGCCCTGGAGTACTACACGCCCATGTCAAGCCAGCGCCCGTGCGTCACATCGAGGCCTACACGACCAACCTGACCATCGCCGACCCCGCCGTTATCATGGACAGCAAGAAGCAACAATGGCAACAAGTATGGCAGGCCACCGAGACCCCCGACGACATCCTACAGGCGCTATCAAAGGCCAAGGCAGCAGCCGCACACCAACCGCTCGAGCCCATCACAGCAGAGATCGTACATCGCTTTCACGGCCGCATGCCACCCAGTAAAGCACATGGAGTGGACGCACTTGGACCTCGCGACCTCCATCGACTACCAGAACCAGCAGTCGAAGCCTATGCGGATATCCTCAACGCAGTAGAGCAGGCAGGCATTTGGCCACTACAAATCTCAGGCACTATTGCAGCCCTAGCAGCCAAGAAGTCTGGAGGCGACAGGGTCCTCGGCATGCTACCTCACATGGCCAGACTCTGGTCTCGCATCAGATCGACTGCATCTACTTCCTGGACCCAAGGGCTGGACGACTTTTGGACTACAGCCATCAAAGGCTCCTCAGCTCTACAGGCCGCCCTGCACAGGGCCTTGTTAGACGAGACAGCCTCAGCACTTGGCATACAGTCAGCCACATTGCTATTGGACATCCAGAAGTTCTACGACAATATCAAGCTCGCCAACCTCATTATGGTCGGCCTCAACTGCGGCTTCCCCCCCATCGTTCTACTTCTGGAAGTACAGCTATACCTCGCGCCCAGATTCTTGCGCAGCCGACAATGGGTGAGTATGCCGATCTTCGCCTCCAAAGGCATCATCGCAGGCTCCCCGCATGGCACGACCTTGGCGCGACTCATATTACTTCCTATTCTACGGCAAGCCCAAGCTCAGGCTGAGCTAGCCCAGATGTGGACCTTCGTCACCTTCGTAGACGACACCGCCCTTCGAGTCGAAGGAGTCCTACGCACACTTCAGAAGCACCTCCCCCGTGCCGCCAAGACGCTCTGCGACGGTCTAAAGGAGTTCGAGCTGCCCATCTCTGACAAGACGGTCCTCATCGGCTCCACCCCCAAGGTCCGCAAATCGCTAGCCAAGAAGTTGCGGCAGTACGACATCCCTGTCACAGCGACCGCCACGGCCGTCGACCTCGGAGTTGACGCGGCCGCGGCTACTCGACGGGTACAAGCCAAAGCCAGGAAGCGACAGAGCTCAGCCGCAGCTAGGCCTCGCAAGATACACCGACTACGGAGCACTGCACAGCAGGCTCGAATCTCAGCAGGACTGTGGCGTACTGGCGCTCTCCCCGAAGGAGTCTTCGGTCATCAGGTGCACGGCCTTGCTCGACACGCTCTACTACGATGGCGCCGTCAGGCCGCCATCGCGGCCACGGGGGCAGCAGCGGGCCGATGCCTCACCTCCCTCCTCGGCGCCACCTTCGACGGCACGGACCCAGGAGTTTCCCTAAGAATCGAGTTCATCGAGGCTTGGCTCCAGCACTGGATACGCCACCCGAGCACGCACGCCAGGATCATCAGAGCATGGCCAAGGATCAAGACCACCTTGCTAGCCGCAGGCCCCAAGCTGTGGCGCAGGGTCAAGGGGCCCACTGGCGCGGCCATCGCGACACTGCTGGAGGCCAGCTGGGAGCCGACCTCAGCTACCACGTGGAGGCGCACAAAGGACGGCTACATCGAGGAGTGGAACCTCCCCCCTGCCCACGACCCTGACCTCCCCGACGCCGACATCCACACAGCATTGCAGGACCTCAGCGAGGATTTGCACAGGCTCCTCTGGACTCAGGCCGCTACCCATGACCATGGCGACACGCTGGCTGGAGGAGCGGACATGGTCACTATCCGCATTGAACAAAGGAGGCTCCTCGCAAACGGTGATTTCAGCGACTGGGCCCTCAACAACACCGTCATCAGTGGAGGACAATGGACCAGGGACCGCCTCCACAACTCGGGCTACCAGATCGACAGGAATTGCGACCGATGCAGCGCAGGAGTTCCTGAAACCCTGTTTCACCGTATGTGGCAGTGCGAGGCGAATGTGGGACCTGAGTTTGAGGCCAGTGACAAGCTACTACCGCGAGCTGTGGCGGGGGCCGAAGCTGACCCTGCCCTGTGGCTCCGTGGCATTCCCTCCGTCGCTCTCACTACGCCCGCGTTCGAGCCATTGACTGGGAGGGACGGGTGGGAGTTTGTTGGTGCGGTGCGGGAGGGGTTGCCGTCGTGGGAAGGAGCTCGCAACGCTGAGGGCGAGTTGATTCTTTTTGGCGACGGGTCTGGCGGCGCCTTTTCCGACGACGTCAGGCGACGGCGTGTTGGTTCTGGCCTCGCGGCCCTCCGATGGGACCCTCCCTCGGCCTCCTGGGCCCTCCACGCGGGCCTCCTCGCCCCCCTCCCAGGCCCCCGACAGACCGTCCCAAGAGGCGAATTGCATGCGTTTTGCCTGGCACTGGAGACGTGCCAGCAGGATTTCACGTTTGTCACTGATCACCTAGCCCTGCAGCGCGGCTGGCAGAATGGCAGATGTCTCAGACCTGGCAGCCTCAGAGGCAAGAATAAGAATGGGGATCTCTGGCTGAGAATTCGGCACCTCGTGCAGGATCGATCTGGCGGCTGCTCTTCGGTCTCGGTGCTCTGGACCCCATCTCACGCCGATCCCCTCACTTTGAGTGGTTTCAAATTTATGGCTCTCGGCAACCAGCATGCCGATGAGCTCGCGGGAAGCGCGGCCCACAAGTCGGCCACCCTTGCCCTCCCGCCTGTCCCCAGGACTGATGAATATGACGCTATTGCTGCCATCGTCCGACAGAGGGCCCGACTGATCTTACGTTCCTTAGGCAAGAATTCGGAGCCTCGAGGACAGTGGCCAGAAAGGCAACCCACCCAGGATGCAGCCCCTCGCTCTCAGTTGCAGACCGCGATCGCGGCTTCTCAGCACAAATTCGAGCGGTGTGCAGACAAATGGAGATGCCCTGCCTGCCTCATCATCGTTGACGCGTGCCACGTTATTCCAGCTGCCGCCACTGAGCGTGTGCCGCCTTGCCCCCTTCCCGAGTTCGCTGCGTGTGGAGAGGTGCTGTGGTCGAGGGGTCCTCGCGTGATCAGTGGCAAGTTGATCCACCCCTCCCACATTTTGGCCACCATCCCCAAGTGGCATTGTTATTTTGTGTGAAGTGCGGCCATACGGCCACGCACCAGGTTAAAAGCCTTCTTTTGCCGTGCCCTCTCTCCCACCAAGTGGGAGAGCGCAGGGCCCTGGGACCCACTGGCAAAGGCCTCGAGAACCTCAGCAGGATCAGGCGAGGCCTCCACCCGTCCAGAGCGGGTCCCAGCAAGGCTGTGCTAGAGGCTTTGCACGCTTCGGCAGCCGAAGCCGCGATCGGTTCCTACGCGGCGGGTGCTGCCACCGAGTAAATCGCGAGGCCAGGGGGGCCTGTCGCGGTGGGCCGTGGGATGTCGCCCCCCACGGCCCTCCGAGAAATACTGGATGGCCCCCCTGGCATCCCTGGGTTCCGAACGGACTACCTCCGATTGCTCCACTCCACTCCTCTTCTTCCTCCTCCTCCTCCTCCGCCTCCTCCGCCTCCTCTTCCTCCTCCTCCTCCTCCTCCTCCTCCTCCTCCTCCCTCCTCCTCCCCTGCTCCTACGCATTCTCGCCTCCTCCTCCTCCTCCTCTCATCCTCCTCGTCCTCTGCCTCCTCCTCCTCCTCTTCCCCTCCTCGTCCTCTTCCTCTTCTCTACACTCCTACTCCGCCTTCTCCCTCCTCCTCCTCCTCTCCTCCTACCAGTCTCCTCCAGGCCCGTAGCGCGCGTTGCAAGCTCCTTCCCCGCCGCCCTGGCTTCGCCGCAGCCCATGCCCCCCCCCCCCCCCCCCCCCCCCCCCCCCCCCCCCCCCCCCCCCCAAAACGGTTTCTCGGGCCCGACGGGGGCCGGCGGATCGCCGAGGGCGGCTTCGTTCGCGAGAGGAAAGGAGGAGGAGAAGGAGGAGGAGGAGGAGGAGGAGGAGGGGGAGGAGGAGGAGGAGGAGGAGGAGGAGGAGGAGGAGGAGGAGGAGGAGGAGGAAAGGGGCTCGTCCGAGCAGCCCCGAGTCCCTCGAGCGGGCAGGGCCGTCGCAGGAGGCGTCGCGACGCCTCCCCGCTACTTTGGAAGCCCGAGGCGGTGCGGTGAGGCACCGCGCGGCGACCTCGAGATCCCCCAAGACCTCACAACACGGTCCGTCACCGCACGGTCTGGGGCCCTCGGATGCCCCTGTCGCCCAAGGCATCCTCGGAGAACGACCCGAGTCCCAAAACCCTGCGGTGACCCCGAGTCCCCACCGGCTCACCGCACGGTGTGGTCACCACCCCGTTTGGGGGCCTCCCATTTGGACGCCCGAGATGGGTACGGGAAAAATGGGTACAATGCCCAACAACGAATGTTGTCCCAAACCGACAGCGGCCGCTGTTGGGCAGGCGGTCTTCTGCCTCAAATGGACACAGGCCGCGGCTGCGCGGACAGCGAGTCCTGTTCAGAATGAACAGGAACTGCTGTTGGGCATTGTACCCGTTCTTTCCGTACCCATCTCGTGCGTGCAGATCCGAACTGCGAGGCCCGTCCATAGGGGAACAAAAAGTGGCATAAACATAAAAAACCCGAAACCGCGCGGATTTCTCGGATCGGCGCTGGGGCCCCCCGGCGGCGCCTCCGGCGCCGCCCCTGGCGCGCCCCGCGCGCCAGGGAGGGGAATCCAGCGCCGATCCGAGAAATCCGCGCGGACCTCCGAGATCTTATGCTTATGCCACTTTTTGCTCCCCTGGTCCAGGGGCCCCAAGTAAAACAAGGCTAGGATCGGGATAAATCGCTCCAGAGCGTTCCGGAGCGCTCTCAGAGCGTTCCGGAACGCTCAGGAGCGGCCGCGGCGCCCAATACATCCTCCAAACCCGCCGATTCTCAGAGATTTCGAGTTATCCCGATCCGATTTTGTCCCGATCTTCGCGTCCTTTTACCAGGGGGGGCGGGCAGAACCGCCCGACGCCCAGGCACAGCGGCGCCCTGGCGGAGCCACACCCGGCACCGTGTGCGGAGCCAGGGCGCGAGGCAGCTCGCAGGCCTCCGGACCAGCGCGAGACCTGGCGGCGGCTCCGCCGGCTCGACGACAGGAAACGGCACCCCGTAGGCTGAAGTCGGGCG